CTGCTACATGCATGCCCCACCCCCAACCCCAACCCCTCCCCCACCCCCAACCCCTCCCCCAACCCCTCCCCCAACCCCAACCCCTCCCTCAACCCCACCCCCACCCCCACCCCCACCCCAACCCCACCCGCACCCCTATCCCACCCCCACCCCACGCACAGGTGACCGAGCTCGTTGGCGCCCACAAAGGAAGGAACAGTGCCCTCAATGCGGTTGTCCATGATGTCCCACATGTACAGCCGCTGCATGGCGCTCACTGTCGATGGGATGGACCCCGACAGGCCGTTCTGGTTCGCCAGGAAGAACTTGAGACTCGCCAGGCGCCCCACTGTGGCTGGGATGGAACCCGTGAGGTTGCACCCGTGCACGTCACAGGGGGGGGGTGAGGAGGGGGAGCGGGGGAGGAGGGCAGGGGATGCACGGGGAGGGGGGGCACGGGGAAGGGGAGGGAGGCACAGCACAGGGCGGGTTGGGAAGGACCCTGCTATACTGCTATACTGCTATAATGCTATACTGCTATACTGCTATAATGCTATACTGTTATAATGCTATAATGCTATACTGCTATACTGCTATACTGCTATACTGCTATACTGCTATACTGCTATACTGCTATACTGCTATACTGCTATACTGCTATACTGCTATACTGCTATACTGCTATACTGCTATACTGCTATACTGCTATAATGCTATACTGCTATACTGCTATACTGCTATACTGCTATACTGCTATACTGCTATACTGCTAAACTGCTATACTGCTATACTGCTATACTGCTATACTGCTATACTGCTATACTGCTATAATGCTATATTGCTATACTGCTATACTGCTATACTGCTATAATGCTATACTGCTATAATGCTATACTGCTATACTACTATACTGCGATACTGCTATACTGCTATAATGCTATACTGCTATACTGCTATACTGCTATACTGCTATATTGCTATACTGCTATACTGCTATAATGCTATACTGCTATACTGCTATACTGCTATACTGCTATACTGCTATACTGCTATAATGCTATACTGCTATACTGCTATACTGCTATACTGCTATACTGCTATACTGCTATACTGCTATACTGCTATACTGCTATACTGCTATACTGCTATAATGCTATACTGCTATACTGCTATACTGCTATACCGCTATAATGCTATACTGCTATACTGCTATACTGCTATACTGCTATACTGCTATACTGCTATACTGCTATACTGCTATAATGCTATATTGCTATACTGCTATACTGCTATACTGCTATACTGCTATACTGCTATACTGCTATACTGCTATACTGCTATACTGCTATACTGCTATAATGCTATACTGCTATACTGCTATACTGCTATACTGCTATACTGCTATAATGCTATACTGCTATACTGCTATACTGCTATACTGCTATACTGCTATACTGCTATACTGCTATACTGCTATACTGCTATACTGCTATACTGCTATAATGCTATACTGCTATAATGCTATACTGCTATACTGCTATACTGCTGTACTGCTATACTGCTATAATGCTATATTGCTATACTGCTATACTGCTATACTGCTATACTGCTATACTGCTATACTGCTATACTGCTATACTGCTATACTGCTATACTGCTATACTGCTATACTGCTATACTGCTATACTGCTATACTGCTATAATGCTATAATGCTATACTGCTATACTGCTATACTGCTATACTGCTATACTGCTATACTGCTATACTGCTATACTGCTATACTGCTATACTGCTATAACTGCTATACTGCTATACTGCTATACTGCTATACTGCTATACTGCTATACTGCTATACTGCTATACTGCTATACTGCTATAATGCTATACTGCTATACTGCTATACTGCTATACTGCTATACTGCTATACTGCTATAACTGCTATACTGCTATACTGCTATACTGCTATACTGCTATACTGCTATACTGCTATACTGCTATACTGCTATACTGCTATAATGCTATACTGCTATATGCTATACTGCTATACTGCTATACTGCTATACTGCTATACTGCTATAACTGCTATACTGCTATACTGCTATACTGCTATACTGCTATACTGCTATACTGCTATACTGCTATACTGCTATACTGCTATACTGCTATACTGCTATACTGCTATACTGCTATAATGCTATACTGCTATAACTGCTATACTGCTATACTGCTATACTGCTATACTGCTATACTGCTATACTGCTATACTGCTATACTGCTATACTGCTATACTGCTATACTGCTATACTGCTATACTGCTATACTGCTATACTGCTATAACTGCTATACTGCTATACTGCTATACTGCTATACTGCTATAATGCTATACTGCTATACTGCTATACTGCTATACTGCTATACTGCTATACTGCTATACTGCTATACTGCTATACTGCTATACTGCTATACTGCTATACTGCTATACTGCTATACTGCTATACTGCTATACTGCTATACTGCTATACTGCTATACTGCTATACTGCTATACTGCTATACTGCTATAACTGCTATACTGCTATACTGCTATACTGCTATACTGCTATACTGCTATACTGCTATACTGCTATACTGCTATACTGCTATAATGCTATATGCTATACTGCTATACTGCTATACTGCTATACTGCTATAATGCTATACTGCTATACTGCTATACTGCTATACTGCTATACTGCTATACTGCTATACTGCTATACTGCTATACTGCTATACTGCTATAATGCTATACTGCTATACTGCTATACTGCTATACTGCTATACTGCTATACTGCTATACTGCTATAATGCTATACTGCTATACTGCTATACTGCTATACTGCTATACTGCTATAATGCTATACTGCTATACTGCTATACTGCTATACTGCTATACTGCTATACTGCTATACTGCTATAATGCTATACTGCTATACTGCTATACTGCTATACTGCTATACTGCTATACTGCTATACTGCTATAATGCTATACTGCTATACTGCTATACTGCTATACTGCTATACTGCTATACTGCTATACTGCTATACTGCTATACTGCTATACTGCTATAATGCTATACTGCTATACTGCTATACTGCTATACCGCTATAATGCTATACTGCTATACTGCTATACTGCTATACTGCTATACTGCTATACTGCTATACTGCTATACTGCTATACTGCTATACTGCTATAATGCTATACTGCTATACTGCTATACTGCTATACTGCTATACTGCTATAATGCTATACTGCTATACTGCTATAATGCTATACTGCTATACTGCTATACTGCTATACTGCTATACCGCTATAATGCTATACTGCTATACTGCTATACTGCTATACTGCTATACTGCTATACTGCTATACTGCTATACTGCTATAATGCTATACTGCTATACTGCTATACTGCTATACTGCTATACTGCTATAATGCTATATTGCTATACTGCTATACTGCTATACTGCTATAATGCTATACTGCTATAATGCTATACTGCTATACTACTATACTGCGATACTGCTATACTGCTATAATGCTATACTGCTATACTGCTATACTGCTATACTGCTATATTGCTATACTGCTATACTGCTATAATGCTATACTGCTATACTGCTATACTGCTATAATGCTATACTGCTATACTGCTATACTGCTATACTGCTATACTGCTATACTGCTATAATGCTATACTGCTATACTGCTATACTGCTATACTGCTATACTGCTATAATGCTATACTGCTATACTGCTATACTGCTATACTGCTATACTGCTATACTGCTATACTGCTATACTGCTATACTGCTATACTGCTATAATGCTATACTGCTATAATGCTATACTGCTATACTGCTATATTGCTATACTGCTATACTGCTATAATGCTATATTGCTATACTGCTATACTGCTATACTGCTATACTGCTATACTGCTATACTGCTATACTGCTATACTGCTATACTGCTATAATGCTATACTGCTATACTGCTATACTGCTATACTGCTATACTGCTATACTGCTATACTGCTATACTGCTATACTGCTATACTGCTATACTGCTATAATGCTATAATGCTATACTGCTATACTGCTATACTGCTATACTGCTATACTGCTATACTGCTATACTGCTATACTGCTATACTGCTATACTGCTATACTGCTATACTGCTATAATGCTATACTGCTATACTGCTATACTGCTATACTGCTATACTGCTATACTGCTATACTGCTATACTGCTATACTGCTATACTGCTATAATGCTATACTGCTATACTGCTATACTGCTATACTGCTATACTGCTATACTGCTATAATGCTATACTGCTATACTGCTATACTGCTATACTGCTATACTGCTATACTGCTATACTGCTATACTACTATACTGCTATACTGCTATACTGCTATAATGCTATACTGCTATACTGCTATACTGCTATACTGCTATACTGCTATACTGCTATACTGCTATACTGCTATAATGCTATACTGCTATACTGCTATACTGCTATACTGCTATACTGCTATACTGCTATACTGCTATAATGCTATACTGCTATACTGCTATACTGCTATACTGCTATACTGCTATACTGCTATACTGCTATACTGCTATACTGCTATACTGCTATACTGCTATACTGCTATACTGCTATAACTGCTATACCGCTATAATGCTATACTGCTATACTGCTATACTGCTATACTGCTATACTGCTATACTGCTATACTGCTATACTGCTATACTGCTATACTGCTATACTGCTATAATGCTATACTGCTATACTGCTATACTGCTATAACTGCTATACTGCTATAATGCTATACTGCTATACTGCTATACTGCTATACTGGTATACTGCTATACTGCTATACTGCTATAACTGCTATACTGCTATACTGCTATACTGCTATACTGCTATACTGCTATACTGCTATACTGCTATACTGCTATACTGCTATA